CCTTAAACCTCCGTCTCTAAGTTTTCCGGCCACCTTCTAGACTGCCGTTCCACACCTCCGTTGCTCTTGGTTCAACCCAAAAGCACTCAATCCTGTACTCCTTGAATCCCTCTATTATCTATCACGTTGCATACTCTGTTTCTCTCTGCCTCTCACAACTCTCTATTTGTGGTTTATGTCTTAAACCCTAGACAGACATCATATATATATATATATATATATATATAGGCATCTCTGAAAACCCTAATCCACATAGAATTAGAGACCAAAAACCTTAACCAAAATCTAGTCGGCCACAACGTGAAACATAAAACACAAAACCCTAATTAAATAATAATCATACAATTTAGTCAATTACCGAGAAAACAAAATACATACAATTAAATAAAACAATTAATTAAACAGTTAATTCAAATAATTCAAATAATAACCAATAATTCAAATAATTCAAATAATTCAAACAAATAAACAATTAAATAATTAAAAATGCAATTGAACAATATATTAAAATACCAGGACTATCCTTTTAAAATTAGGGATATTACAGTTAGTCAATCCTTCTCTCGTGCTGCCATAGAGCTGCCATGGGACGGGTTGCATTAACGGTTTAAAAATGATGATGGAAATGGCTTTGAAAATGGGGAGCGACATTGCATGGCATTGTCCCATTGTACGGCATTTTCATTCATGAGTTGGATTATTGATATGATTATGTGGTAATTTCTTCTCGGTATGGCATGATCCCGACTTCCCTATTATCTATTCATTGTATGGATTCACAGGGTCTCAAGAGGTGTGCCTTAGGCACCTCCTACTGAGTTTATGCTCACCCCTTTCATATTAACATTTTTTAGGTCATGAAAAGGAAGTGGCGGACGACAACCTACCACAGCCTTAGCTTAGATTAGAAGACTATTTTGGGTACCTTTTGTAACCATATCCCATTTTGCAAGCTTGTATAACATGTATAAATTTTTGTAGCTTGTGGTTGTAATTAAAATTTCATGATGGCAATTGTTGTAAAACTTGAGACAATGTTGACGCAATACATGTAAATCATATTGGGATCATATATAGGGTGTGTAGAATTTGTATTTTCATTAAATGGAATGTAAAAGGCCATTTTGCAGCTTGTTTGAGCAAGTTCTAATCAGTTTTCAACTCATGTATAGGCCTATTGCATTTTTTTCAAAACTTATAGAAAACTAGTAGCAGGTCCAGGGCTCTCAGAGCCATTTTGGCCGACCGAAATGGCACTTCGGTCGACCGATCCTTTTCACAACCTTGGGACTTTGCATTTCGACCGACCGAAAAGGGCATTTCGGTCAACCTGTTTAGGGGAAGCTTTAGAGGCCATTTTGGCCAACCGAAGCCCCATTTCGGTTTACCGAAATGGTGCTGCTTTGTATACTCTTTTTCTTTCCTTGGAATAAGTTATTTTCGGCTTTGGAAAAATTGTTTAGAGTCTCCTTAACGTTTGATTTAAGGCAAGATGATGATGTGTTGACCTAGAATTGAAGTGTTTGACTTAGGTGACTTCGGGTTCGAGTAAGGACCCGGTTAACGGTTCGGACCCCCGGGTTCGGGTCGTTACAATTTTCTAAAATTTTTCCTTTTCTATCTAACTAAACTACAAAAAAAGTTTTAAAATTTTCTATTTTTTTTCCTTTGTCCTGTTGATTATATCTAACTAAATGAAACCGTAAGAACAATTTGGACAAATAAATATTGTTTTTCATGTAAAAGTAGTTTGGCAAATGAAAGTGAATAACATCATAAGTTAGTAAGCCTACCACTTTACCTGAGTGTAAAAGAAAAAAAAATAATAATAATAATAGCAAAGAATACAACTTTATTAATTAAAAGAAATAAAATCTAAAAAAATCATGATTCCTAATAATAAAGGATAATGCTTAGCTACTCACTGATAAGTATGGTGAAGCTACTCACCCCTACATGGTCCAATAATAAAATAACACATCACACTTAATAATAAAAATAATTCACACCTAAAAATATTATATTCGTTTATTCAATGATTGATCCGAAAAAGCAGATAAATGTGTGAATTATTTTATTATTAAAGGTAATGTGTTATTTTGTTCTTGGATCACATAGGGGTGAGTAGCTTCACCCTACTCACCAGTGAGCAGCTAAGTATTATCCAATAATAAAAGAGCTTTAGATCACAAAACCAGTTTAATCACAATTAATTAAAAATTTCACAATTGATTAAAAATATAAAATTCATTCTCAAGCCTTTAGTTCATTTTCCAAATAAAACAATCAAATAGTTGTGAGACAAAGTTATTTTTATTATTAGTTACTCGACCCTATTTCATTAATTTATTTCCCTCATGTCCATAACTAGGGATAGCAATTTGTCTCGCCCCTGCGGATACCTACGCGCCCCGCCCCGTTTTTGGCAGTTTTGGGTGACCATATTGAACAATGATCTCTTTATAGCTCCACCTCAAAATGTTCATAACGCGCTCCACCTCAACTGAAAATTTATCCACCTCAAATAAAGCACAATGATGAAATTGAGAAACACTCTAACAATCTCAACATTTTCTCAATTCATCATGTTTCTTCTTCTCTATCCACCCCATTGGTGTTTAATTACTCACGCATAGCAACCCACCAATTTTCAACTCTTCTTCATCAATTGTTTTTCTGGTTCAAACCAACAAATATCTCCCTCTTCACTCTTCATATTCCTCTTTGCTCTTTATCGGGCTTAGATCAAACTCCTTCATTCTTTACACCTTTGCCCATCTTAAGAACTACCACCTTCTCTAACTTGTCCCTAACACTTGTTCCTGATGGGCTTCACCCTTATCGATCACCTTCGCCCCATCTTAAAAATGAGCATCTTTTGGCATATCCCAATATTTGTTCCTTATGGGCTTCACATTATCTATCTTCTTCATGTCATTGTCAATTCTAATTGAATCTCCATAGCACCTCATGATCATCCTCTGCTCTGATAAATTTCACACCAATCTTCTACTACTGATCTTCAAGAACAATCACAGGCCTTGACCCACCATCGGCTCTGATATCAGTTGTCAGGGATAATTAACTTCCTCCAACCCACTCAACAATAAGCTGTTGTTAAGAGTTAAATCCCTCATTCATCACACACACAGCAAAAATATCATCGTATCACATCAACACAAGTATATATAGAGATAACAATCATACACATCCACGCACAAGACAATATTTTATAAGGTTCACCCAACTTTAGGGCTACGTCTATGGAGAGAGATTTCACTATTATGAATCAATGAAGAGAATATACAACCACATGTCAAAACCCCACTCACTCACTCATCATCTCTTTTGAGACTACATGTATACACTCGGGAATTACATATGCCGATTTCACGTTGGCAGTAGCCAAACCAAAATCTACAACATCACACGCAGATACCGATTGCAATATGCCAATAGCCAAGGTCGACCCTCCCAAATTTTCCATACATGATCAGACTATGTCTTAATGTGCTCCTCCATGCATAACTCCACATTGAACATGGATTTTTTTATAGCTCCACCTCAAATTCTTCATAGCTCCATCTCAACTAAAGATTTCTCCACCTCAAATAAAGCACTATGATGAAATTGAGAAACACTCTATCATGTAGGGTGGGGGACGTCCTAGGGGTGGGGGACGTCCTAGGGGTCACTTGGTCTGCCCTGCGCACAATATATATCAGAATTTTTACATAATGTTCTTCTAATTTTTTTTTTTGGTAATTAAATATTATTTCGTTATTTTATTTTTATATTTTTTATTAAGTGTACTGCAGTACAGGAGAAAAAATAGAATTTTTTTTTTTTGGATAGTAAAGTAAACATACACACTCTTTTTTGCCCATGCCATGGCTTGAACTCCTTCCCTCTTCTTTGAAGATGGGAAGATTATACCATTGAGCCAAATACCCTTTGGTGAAAAAAAAAATAATAATAAAATAAATAAATAAAAATTGACTTGGGAAAGTTTATCATATATTTTCTTTTGTTGGTAAAAGTATCCATCAGGACCATCACCAAGGAAAAATATTCGTCTATATATGTATAGACTGTCCTATTTATATATGCCGTTACCGGAATATATATAGCTTGCTATGAGCTCATGTCTAATTGTCTCCCACAAAATTGAGTTTAATTCTTAAACAGTGGTCCAACAATTGTTCGGTTCAGTCGGTCCATTAATATCAAGTCATTCATATATATATATATATATATATATATATATATATATATATATATATATATCATGAGAACTACATATATATACCCATATTTTATCTAGATGAGTATCAAAACAGTTAAACAGGTGGTTTTCCTTTACCCTGAAGATTATCATAGACACCATGGAGAAAGATGAAAATAAATAAATAAGCAAAGCTGGAAAGAAACAGCTCATTAAGGAAGATACAAAAACATGTTATTTTTGTCCGATCCTTGGCATATTTTTCCTATTCTTATCTTTAGGATGTGCTATTTCTTTTTTCTGTGGCTGGGATGATAGATCAACGCATGCTCATATATGATAGATTTTTCATATATGTTTGTTTTACATCTGACGTTATCATGCATGCATATTCATGAGACTTTGTCATGTTAGCCACGAATTGCCGGATGTCATGAGAACATCCTCGTTAAGTTTGGATATAATTAATAAAAAAATTTACTCATCATGATAATGATGGTTACTGAAGATCATCTTATAAATAATAATTTTATTTCAGAGATCCATAATTAAACACCTTCTTGATCATCTTTTATTAACCAGTTTCAAATTTAAAAAAAAAAAAAAAAAAAAAAGCATGGTAAGGTAAGGGGGACCATAACTGCGACAACAGAGTGAACAGTAGTGATCAAGGGAAAGGTCTAAAGGAAATATGCTTAGGATATGCGGATGGATTCATTTTCACGGAATATCCACATAATATGCGAAGCCCCATCATTCGGAATAAAAAGCTGTACAGGATGATCGAACAAACTAAGTAGTTTTTAGGGTAAAGAAGAATAACGGGGCCGTTCTCGTTTGGCAGAAAAATTACACATGCAATTGCATGGAGTGACCTTTCTGCCAATGGAGAATTGCCCTGCCATTCTACACTCTACCATTTTTCGTCTTTAAGTTCAATTTTAATACACATTCATTATTAATTCTATATTGATATATTTAAGGGCGGGTGTTTTGTATGTATATATTTAGTGATTTCCTAATTTATTTTATTCACTGACAGGTGAAAGGAGTACTCAAGCTAGTAGCAGAGATCTGTAGCAATGTAAGATGTCAGTGATTACCCACTTAATCGAGAAACTGAAAGCACAAGTTCATCATGGAAACTACGTACTAAACAATACATCACATACACTACAACTATAAATGGAGTTAAGTTCAAGATAGAAGGTGCTTTGGAGATAGGGTTACATATTCTTTCGGCAGCAAAATGAGGAGAAATTGTATGACTAGCTCAACTTAAGTATCATGTCTTCAAGAACCCTATTTTTTTTTTTTCCGTGTAAGGTAAGAAAGTATAATAATGATGTGTCAACTATGTAGAGAGAAGGGGAACACCCCGAACCCTAATTCTTTTCTGTTTCTTTCTTTAATTTTTTTTTTCTTTTTCCATATTTTTTTCTTCCTTTTACCACTTAAACAAGTCTCAGATTAGTTCAATCCAGTTTCCTAATGTCATGAACTGTTTCTGTTGGATCATGATTAGCACACGTTTGAATAAGATCAACAGAAGAATTTTCTACTCTTGGCTCATAAGTAATTGGTCTTTCACACTATTAACAGAAATATCAAATATCTACTACGTACTGTAACTCAAAATTTCAACCTGTGTTATATTTTCAAATTGGTTTATTTTTAATTCTCAAGAGGAGGTTGAATTATAAAGTAGAGTAATGGATCAAAATTTCATTTTTTATACCAATTCAATTGGCTTTGCTTGTATGTCCATCAAAACAACATATAAACATCTAAATTAAAAAATATATATGTGAGTAATTAAGTGTGCAAATGTTATAAACTATCTAGTGATGTCTACTTTTATTTTAGGAAAAGAAGTACATAAAAGAAATTTCATAAGAAAAAGTAAATGATTTGTCTAAATGATTTATCTTTGAGCATATTTAGACACAGTTGAAAATTGTCGATATACTTTATGTTCATATATATGATTTAACATGTGTTCTGTATTTTTAACAATATAATAATTTAAAATCTAAATTTTCTTTATATTTTCAAAAGGGAGAGTTAGATTAAGAAATAGTGAAATCCTTCTGTTCGCTCCATCCTTAAGGTAACTATGCAAATCTGAAATTAAGCTCAGTACTAATTGTAATCTTCTTATTTCTCACACCAAATTAGGCATTTAGCAAGAGAGTTGCTGTATAAGATTCTCCCAGTAATCGAGCTGGTTAGTTATTATCACATCCTTCACCTATTTATAGACACACTCTCTACTTTCTAAAAAATCCCTACACAAACAACAAAACTCCATACAATTCTAAATCTTCTATACACTCTACAGTCTACATACATCTACAAGCTAGCTCTCCAATTAACATTCTAGAAATTTCCATTTCTTTTTATCACTTCACAATCATCTACACCATTATGGAAGAATCTAGAACTCTAGTCTCCTCATGACATGCAGAGTCATCCCCAATGCCCACATGTCACCTTCGTGACTTAGTCTCCCTGCACAATTAGGCGGGGCATGACAATTAGGTAAGTAAAACAAATAAATGACATATTTCTCTAGAGAAAATTCTGAGTTGAAGAGAAGAAATTGAGAACGCGATTACCCGAGAGTAACTTAATTAAGCTCTTTAAGGCTTACATCAATGGTACACAATGTCCTATATCTTGTTTCCTAATATCTTAGTTTTGTTTATCATAACCACCGAGTTGAAGATTTACTAGAAAAGCATGTTAATATAAATATGAAGATTTACTAGAAAAGCATGTTAATATAAATATGAAAAATAATATTATAGATATTGATGAGTATAATTATTAAAATAAATGTTAATATCTTAGTTTTGTTCATCCAATCGACATTCTTATAGAAGAAATTGTGTTGTTCCATATTTTGATTGGGTTGGATGACAGATAATATAAAGTGCTAACTTACTGTATTAGTTAGGAGAGAGAGTTTAAAATTATTTTAATAATTATACTCATCAATATCTATAATATTATTGTAATATATAAAAGATAATATTATAATTTAAAACTTTTATAATATCAACACTTGTATTCACTACTCTTTTTCATTTTTATATATTTGGAGATGAAAATTTGTTAAAAGAGGAATGATTATTCATCCATCTAATTATCATTCTATCTTTATCTACTCTCTGCCAACCAAAAAAATTTGTTACTTTCTTCCTATATACCTAACAAAACATTAAGAAACAATATCTGTTTAAGAAACATTTATAATACTCCAAACTTCTTACTTCTCTTTAAGAAACATTTGTTTAACAATAAAAATAAATTAAAACAAGGGAAAGGTGCACTCCGGCGCACAACTATCTTCTTTTCTTCAACATAGCAATATTTTATTTTATTTTTAAGTTGAATGGGTAAGCTTGTATTAAAATGAAAGAAAGATATTTACATTGTCCTTAAAAATGAAGGACACAGCAAGCCATTAGTCACACAAGACTGCCTAAGGCAGCTACAAACCAGAACCAAATAAAGGGAAAACACACGACTGTCCTAAGGCGGTCTCCAATCAGAATCCTACAAACAATCCCTAAATCAATCAAGGGAAGTTTGGGGGTATTTTGATAATTTTTGTACTTGTGTCTGCAAGGATATTTATTCATTCTGATTCTTGAACTCCCTCTAACCCTTTGAATCTTCAATAATTAACTTCTAATCTGTTAGGAACCAGGATTGGTGCCCCCAGCAAAAGAACATCCCTGCATGAAGAGCTGCTGCAGATCATCCATAGCTCCCATTTGCCTCACCTCGGATCCACTATTCAACTTGATTAATGCAAACCAAGCTCTAACACAACTCTTAATGAGATCGACATGTATATTGTCCAATGTAAGCTATTGCATTGCTGCTCTTTGAGCTTCACGATAAAGAGTAATCATTTCCTTATTGAAAATTATCCAAAAGCCTCTAAAATTCCTCCATCATCGTCCAAATTCTTCCCGGTGAATCTTACACCTGGGTCAGATAAGATTGTAATTTTAATCTAGGCTTTAGGAAATGAAGAAATGTGGAAACTAGCTTGTATGTGCTGAATCCATGACCTAATTTTGCCCCTACAATTAAAGATGGTTATTGCTAATAAATCCAAAAAAAAAAAAAAAATTGTACTAATGATTTCTTTCACATTGCAAATTTTTACATCTGCCATGGAGAAAAGATTAACAATATAATTTTTCAGACATATATATATATATAATAGAAAGCGAGAGAGAGGTCACTTATAAGTACACTGAAAAAGATTACATTGTAGACCTGCAGGCAGTCTCAAAAGTCCAGTCCAGTGCGGTGCCTTAGACGCTACATAACCATATATCCATTTGTAAATTATTAATTTCTGATATCAATCCGTACGTAAGTGTGACGATGTTATAAATGCCATTGTGTGTGAATGTAGGATGAGGAGACGTACTTTTAGAGCACAAATAAAAGATGAAACAATATAATGTACCTTGTGAAGATAGATTCATGATCAGGGCATGCATTGATGCATGCAAGCGATTTTGCATGCGCGTGGGGCGTGTAACTGCAGAAGAATTGCCGGGCAAATCTCATTTGGCAGAGGGCACACTTGAACAACACATAGCTCTCGATGTACGTGTGTCCAGTGGCTGCCTGCCAAAGGAGTGTTTGCCCTGTAATACAGCTGCACCAGAAGTTGTGGTTGATTTGGCTGGAAACCTCGCATTAATTTATACATGATATGATGGAGGTAGCTTGGATATGCCATCACAAAAGTAGCATATCCAGTGGGAAATGCCTTGTGTTCTCTGAATGAAGCCTCTGACGCCCCTTTATGCCCTTTATCGTGACCCTCTCAAACTGAACAAATTTTCACTATAAGGTTAAATTTTCTACTATTTAACTATATCAGGAGAACCTAATAATATTTAATGGAGTTATTTGGTTCTTGTGATCCGTGTTTTTCATTCCATTCCATTCCACATGGATAGAGTACTACTAATTAATGAAGAACATTATTGCACCAATTATGTTATGCATTTTCAATGTAACATGGTTTATGAGATATCTGAGAAAATTAAAATAAAAAATAAAAATCAGGGCAAAAACACTTTAGAGTACGTACAAGTTCCAGTGGATTCTGTAAGATGAGATATTCTTGAGAATGTTCTTACCCCGTTTACACTTCACATGCCATTTCCCTATCATGGTCCCGCCAATTGGATTCTACAAAAAGTAGATTCTGTGTACGCGAAAGTTCGATCGGGAATGAATTTTAGGTTAATTTCATGCTTGTATTGCCCATGTCATGATTAGTTCATTTGTAGAATGATTACGAACCTTGTGAATTTTGGTAATGACAGTCTTATGTGAAGAACATTGGAAATTTGCTGTCTTAAAATACACCACTGACGATTGATCATACTAGCTTAATTAATTTCTTGTATAGATGATCTCTGAATAAAATCCTATTAGTCAATATAATGAATCATGTTTTATATGATCCAATTTTCTCAATAATAAAGTACTCATCTTAACTAAATTTTATTTCTTCACTGAATATTTAGAGCCAGCATGAGTTTATGCATAAATTCACCTGGAGTACAGAGCAAAACGTTAGTGGCCTAATGATAATATATATATCAAACACAATAAGCTATAATTTTGATTATTGCCATAATTGCATGTGAACATGGGTAGTGTCAACTATCCGAACTGAGGGCCATTTGAGTATTTTCTAGAAAACTCAAAACGTAGATTTGTTCTAGTCCAGGAAAATCTGAATGCCCTAAGACTATCGATATAATTACTAGTACTGCTCTATTAAAAGTTTGAAGCCCAACAAATATTGGATTATCCACGTTGGTTACAAATTCTGTCCAGATCAATCAGAGAAGCTGCGCATTAACTTATCCATGTTGTTTACAAAATGCTTACAATGCATTCTTTTAGTTTCTATTTTCAAAATAAAAATTTCAATTTTCTTTTTCGTTTTATCTGGTCCAACTAGCCAATAGAGACATTATGCCAATCAGACTCTTGGGAATCAAATCATAGACACAGAAAGAAGAGATAACTACAAGAACTGGAGGTGGTTAGTGGCCAATAGCTGTCACAATATTTCAGCATCAATAAGGTCCGTGTCCATATTTTTCTAAAATCTACACATAAGATATATTCTCAACTTGTCATTATTTGACAAAAAAAAAAAAAAAAAAAAAAAAAAAAAAAAAAAAAATGAAGAAAAAAGTTGAAAGATATCTCAATAATGAAAACTATAGGGGGCTGATCTATTGGCGAGATCCAACGATACTGAACAGTTGCTCAAAAGAAAAAACTACCTGTAAGTAGTTTTAGGGTAGCAGGGACAATGGTGACAAGTGTCACTAAGGCCTTTACATAATAATGTGATTTAGATACAAATTGACATGCGATGTTGTTTGATGGAATTTAAATGCAAAAACACAATTGGAACTTGGTGGGATATGGCTTTGGGTGGGCTCTTTGTACTAGAACACGGTGAGGTGCGTTTTGATTGTGTATTGGTGGAATAGGAGTTACTTGATGAGTGA